AGTAGTTGTAATGAATATAAAATACAGGTACTTTCCGCAAATAATTTCGATCTTCTATAAAACATGATAAAATCACTTATTCAGATTTGCATTGTATATTATATAATTATAAAATTACTTTTCTAAAAACTCTTCAATTTCTTACAGCGCATAAAAAAAACTTATAGATAACATAGAATGAGACAAAAAACCAGATTACATTTTTTAAACTTACGTTTCCATTTTCGAATGAAGTTACTTCATCATTTAAGCTTGCTGATGATAAACTGACTCATCCTTGTTTGATGTTACTGCTTGATTCATTGTGGGAGATGATAATGTTATTGTTGTTACTGGTGATTTGTTTGTCCCTAAGGATAACTGGTGAGTTATTATTTATAATTGGGCAGTTGGTTTATGGTTTTGGTTTTTACTTTTAATTTGATCCCTATTTGCTATATTTATATTTTTTTTTTTTCCTATTAACTAAAATTAATCCAACTCTCAAAAGCTACACGAGGGGTATTCCCAACTTGCCTCCCTTATTATAATTTGCATTTATATTTGTAAATTTTAATTTGTAAATTTGCTTTCATTTCATTTATAATTTCATTTATAATTTCATTTATAATTTGTTTTTTAATAAAATAGTTGTTTTACTATCTTACTATCTTCTATCTTTTACTATCTTTTGTTTCTATCTTTTCTTGCCGTGTTTCGGAATATAATTGTTGTATTCTAGTGTGATCGCATACTATATCGCATACATATCGTATGCATCCACTTGAAGTGTGACAAAATTATGCCACTTCAGCATAATCCTTTTGATAAAATAAAATGTCACACTTCACTTCGCATGTAAACAGTGATAATTCTGTTTATATAAGAATAATCTAGTGTGTGATAAGGATAATTTAGTAAGCAATTACAATCCTGTTTAGAATAAGATAAGAATAATTTAGTGTAAAAATTTAGTATAAATAGTGCCTAAGAAAATAAAGAAAAACAGGTCTCATAATGCAACTCAACCAAGCGTTTTACTCGCTAAGAACACTAGGCGTTCAAATCCGCCTGAACTATTAAAATTAGTGACCGTCTTAAGCCGAGACACTTTGGCATTATAAAAGACGGATAGACTTGGCGTACTGCAGCCGAGCAGCATAGGGCCTAAACAGATAAACTAAACACATCATACCATATCAAACATTATTACAGTATAGAGGATTGGCTTTCTGATAGCCAGAAGATCAATGAAGGTGGATGATAACTCTTGCAGAACTTGGATCATTTGTCGCAAATAACATAGTTGAAAGGCTTAAAGTGGAAAGAACTTTACCATTTCGTATTTAATACGTTTAATAAGTTAAGCGAGAGAATATTAAGAGCATTTGTTGTGTGTTGTCTTGCCTTTTCTACCGCTTTTTCCATTCTTTTTGGGATAGCTTAAATTCGTCGAAATTAGATATGTTAGGGTATTTAGCTAATTTTTGCTTTTCTTAACTAAAATATTGTTCGACTCTAGAGTCGAATCTCTTATGTTGTTGGATATAGTACTATAGTACTATTCTTCATTGCCGGGAAATCTTCATCGTAATTGTTGTCTATTAGATTGAGTGGATTGGTAGATAATTTTTCTTTGCATTCTCTAAAAAAGAGAGAGACTTTTTGCTTAAGCTCTTTTAGAGAAAATGTTGCTTTTTCCTCACGCCATCTTGACGATGTTTTCTCCTTTACATGAGGCCAAAAAGAAGCCGCGAAGAAACGGTGCATTTGTGGAAAAATGTTGCATAAATCGCGATATTTTTGGAAAAAAAATTTTATTTTTTAAAATATTGCATATTTTCGGCCAATCGTTATAATTGTGTATAACTGTAATAAGCGAGTACTCATCCTCAAGAAAAATTCCTTACAGTGTCAGACAGTAAATCGGTATTATTCGCTTTACAATGACTTTTTTTTATCGTTTCATTTATACTCTTTATTTCCACAAATAAATAAAAATTCCGGACTCAGATGTGACATTATTTGCCTTACTAACATGTTGATGTTTAATTACACGCGATGTAATGATCACTTATTCAAAATTAATACAGTGAACAGCCCTTTATATATCTGTGGGGTCTTGCAATCTCTCAATGGTTAGAAGATGATTAGAAAAGATATCCCTTTTTTTTGTGGTTTTTTGCATAAAACAGTAAACAATACTGAATTCCATACTTCCGCACAAAAAACTTTGCCTTTATTATTTATTTTTAACTTTGGTGGACACAAAACGTGCAAAACGTGCTTTGCAACACAGGGAGGAGGATGATGATGATGATAAGAAAGATGATGCTTCGAGTTAAATTAGAAAGACAGTATATAAAATAATTTATTTTTCATAAATAGGATTAAATTTTAAAGTTTTATTTACATGTTCCCAACCAACGAGTAAAGTAAAGTAAAAATCAAGTATGAAAATTACTAAATAATTATAATTCTATTGCACTACTGCATGATGATGAGCACGGCAAATATGACTGGACCACAAAAACTAAACAGCCAAAATGATTTGTTAATCTTCGGAAATGCGGTTTCCTTGCTTCCAGTTTCATTACAAAGGAAAGGAAATGTTTGCTCGCGAAGAAGAAAACTCTACATTGGCGGCACTAATCATACAAAGTTGAGTTTTAGCTTGATTTGAAACAAGATCATAAATTAAGAAATCAACCGAAGATAATAATTAATGCGATGATTGTGAGCCAAGATATACATAAGAGATGTTGAGCTCGCAGCAATATCAGCAATATGACCTTATCGTCCTTGTATATTTGGATTAAATATATATTCAATATATTGGCTCGTACGCTTTCAATTCTGATTATCCTGATGCCTACACAACTTGAAATGTAATTTCAACAATTGGGTCAACAATTTCATTATTAGGGATTCTTTTTTTATTATTTGAGAAAGATTAGTGAGTCAACGAAAATTAATTTTTTAATAATTTTTCCTATTCAATTAAATTCTTCAATTGAATGACTACAAAATACTCCTCAATCTGAACTAACTTTATTAACTAATTAATCGACTCTAATATAGCAGAATAGAATAAAGCTTCATATATAAAGTAATTTACTTGTTTTAGAAATGTCCTTAGCCGAAGGGGAGGAATCTCGACTAACAAGTCAATGGTGTTGGGTTCGAATCTCAAGTGCGGTAAAGTTAAAAAGCCGATAGCCTTAGATGCTAGTGCTTTTAAGAGTTTAGTCTTAGAATTTATTTCTCTGGCGAAATTAATAATAATAATAATAATAGAAATGTCTACTTGAACATTAATTAGGTCTTCAAGACAGCTCTTCCCCTCTAATAGATATACTGAACGGCAGAGGACTGAGATTATCAGCCGCCTTCATTTCAGTGAGTCAATTCTTCATCATTCTCTCTATTTTTAGCAAAACAGAAAAAAAATTTTTATACGCTTATTCTCGTACATGGCCAAATTTTTATACGCTTACTCTCGTACATGGCCAAATTTTTATACAAATACTTGAAATGATACAAATGATTCTCAAATTGGACGCTTATTCTCACATGTACGCAAACACCTGTTGAGTTATTGAGAATAATTTTCAGTTTTATACGCTTACTCTCGTACATGGCCAAATTTTTATACGTTTACTCTCGTACATGGCCAAATTTTTATACCATTTTAAGGAATATGCGCATATTCATTCTCAATAATTCAACAGGTCTTTGTAAAAAAGCCAACCACCTGATCGAATAAGCGTATATATTCTCAATAATTTGTATAGAAATTCCAAACAACTGAGAATATGTGTTAATAAATCATAAGTTTACCCATAAGAATCAATTTGTTCTCCAGAATGTCACTGAGCTAAATAAATCCAAGCATTTTATGAAGTATTTTGAAAATATCTGGAAATTGTATTGTATTGAGCGTATACTTTTGCTTGACTGATCGTTGTGTGGATGTATTAAAAAAGTTAACAAATTTAAAAATCTTACGCGTACCCCGGAATTGTGAATTAAGTGGAAAATATATTGAGCAATTGTGCGGAGTTCAAGAGCTTTCTTTATATGGTTGCAGTGATATTCAAAGTACTGCGAAAGTTGTGTCAGCGCGCTCAGGGCTTATAATCAATAATATAAAACAAAAGGAAACAAGTAAGAACATTCGGACCAAGTTTTATTGGTTCTAAAAATAGATAGCTGCTCGTCATCACTGCAAGAATTCCAAAAATCCAATAAAGTCTTTTTCGTAAAATCTGTTAATAACGATTGTTTTTCTTCGGTATATAAATTTGCTATAGAATCCAAATGACGGAAAGAGATGATGTTGATGCCTTGTTAGATATAGCTGCCATTTGTAAATTCATATATGGTACTCTTGGCTACTTGGTGAGTATGTGAGCTTCGGACTCCACCGAAAATAGCTTTCTCACTTTTTTTTTTATTTATTATTTTTAATGGGAAACAAGCATTATAGTCCGGCAACCACTTTCCAGAATAAGCGTCATATGGGGAATGAACCGACCGCGACAATTTTCAATTGCATTTGTTCTTGAGTCAAAACACGTTATTGTACCAAATGTCATTGAAATATCTCAAAAATTGCGACCTGTAGCTTGAACACAAGTTTACGTGGACAGTTATCAGGCGGACAGTCAAACCTAAATCAATTCAGATTATGATTCTGGACCTATCACTATAATAAAAGGTAGATCTACCTTAACTTAGAACTTTTCTTCACTCGCTTACTTGCTTTTCATCCATAGCAAGTTGAAAATAGAGCCAGTTGAGAGACACCAGTTTGCTAAAACATAACTTGGTCCAAGAAATAAATTATCATTAATAGTCGTAATAACAATAATAATACCTTTCGCGAAATCGATTAAGCGAAACTTTCATGATGACGTATATTAAAGTATTCTTTATTCATTTATTTATATAAACATGTATATATGTATATAAAAGCAAATACTTAAAATCGGAAAAGGGAAAATATAAAATGAAAGGTAAATAAACGAAAAAACGTGAAAGGTGAATGATCAAAAGAGATGTGAGAAGATATGGAATAATTTGCAGTGGAGCATGAAAGAAATCAGTTTATATCTTCTAATAAATGGCATTAAAATATATAGAAAGAGACAAATATACAATAACACATAAAGCTATTAATATTTTAAAATACATAAGTTCTATTTAAAATTCGAGACTTAGGGTAAATTTATTCTGATCATCATCACTGGATACGCCAATTTTTTGATATTCCCCAACTCTTTTCTCAAAGAAATTCGTTTTGCCATCAATACTTATTTTATTCATGAATTCAAATGGATTTTCAGTTAAATAATGCTAAATTTAAAAAAAAAACAAAAATTGATCAAAAAATAAGTACAATAAAGTGAAATAAACTTACCTTTCCCACCTCTAGTTCTAATAGCAAACGATCGGCAACATATTCTATATATTTACACATACTTTCGCTGTTCATGCCAATTAAGTCGACTGGTAAGGCCTCTGTCAAAAACTCTTTTTCAATTTTAACGGCATCTGTTATTATTTCCAAAATCCGTTCTTTGCTCGGTTTTTGTATCAAATGTTTAAACATTAATACCGCAAATTCACAGTGCAAGCCTTCATCGCGTGATATCATTTCATTAGAGAACGTTAAACCTGGCATTATTCCACGTTTCTTTAGCCAAAATATCGAAGCGAAGCTCCCACTAAAGAATATACCTTCGACGGCAGCGAAAGCTATAACACGTTCACCGAAATTAGCCGAATGCGATGATATCCAAGCTAGTGCCCATTCCGCCTTCTTCTTAACCAATGGCATTGTCTCAATGGCATTAAATAGATATTCCTTTTCTTTCTCATCTCTGATATATGTTTCGATAAGTAAACTATACATTTCCGAGTGTACATTTTCCATGGCAATTTGAAACCCATAAAAGCAACGTGCTTCGGTTATTTGAACCTCTTGGGAAAATCGTTCCACTAAATTCTCATTAACAATACCATCGGATGCCGCAAAAAAAGCCAAAACGTGTGAAATAAAATGACGTTCGCCATTACTTAACCGATTCCAATCGTCGATATCTTTAGAGAGGTCAACTTCTTCTGCAGTCCAAAAAGATGCTTCCGCCTAAAGATTATTGGAAAGCAATAAAAAAAACGAAAGCTATTCAGTCGACTATTAAATACGTTGCATGACTTTGCGTGATACAATTACTATACTAGCTTTTTGACTTCCAAAGGTTGAGTTGAGTTTTCATGAGGATCCTTACACGGGGTGGGTGCGTAAAATAATGTGTATCGTGAATATATACAGTTTTTTACCATAGGATACTAACCGTTAGATCTTGTTGCCTATAAAGACTTCGCCTATGTCGATGGCGGTTCAAAAAGGTGGACTTTGTTGTTTATAAAGGCTTGCTTTGTAAGAGAAGCGGTTCAAAAGGTACCAAAATATTATTTCCCACCGATTATTAAGAAATAATCTTTTTTTTTTAAGCTGTTATGGTTTTGACTCGACTGTTATAATAAAAGATTTTATACTTTTTTCTAGATAAATTAAATAATTTTTTTAATGACAACAGAATACCGCGAGCAAGACGGATTTTAATAAAAAAAATTTTATCACATATCGTGCAAAATTATTATGGGCTCATTCAACTTTTCAAAGTTATCGAAAAATATGTATTCTATTCATATATATATTTGTTTAGCTTTGTTCGGAAATGTGTATGGAAAAATTCTGTTTTATAAAAATACTTTATTTTTTTGCTAAAAATTAATTTATACTTAGCTATTGATAAAAATCAATGAGGGGCATGAAAAATTGATAGAAAAGCTTCTCCTTATTGAGAGTCATCTTACGATAACATTACAATTCATGTATTCTCATTTCATTGCGTTGTACATGTTTCCTTTCGTCATGTAAGTAAAAATGTATATATACACGTATACAGATGCCGGCACACATATATAATATTTGCTTTCTTTACTTCTGATTTCACCTCGCTTATGGGAAATGTTATTAAGTTTTCGAACATGGCAATGACATGTAGAACAAAGCGAAAGAAAGAAAAATAACAAGCAGTTGGCTACGTTTGTCCGAAATATGAAAAAATATTTCCAATTTTTTACGGATTAAACCGCATTGGAATTGTTCATTATGAATGCTATCAACGCTAGAAGTAAACAAAAACTTAAAATTTTCAGTGCCAAATTGTTCTCATATACGATGCACGTGCGAATCAGCAAATTCTTAAGCATATGGAAGCGTGAATTTGATTATTAAGCAAAAAAGTGGAGGGAAAAAACGCAGCGCAGTCGAATGCGACAGCGCAGCACACGTTAGACAGTGAAAAAACATGGCTAAGCACGTAAAAGATTTGCTTCGCTAATCATCTGTATAAATACATGTGTACACAAAAATGAAAATTTCTGAATAGGTATATGTTATTTAGGAAGAACAATGTATGAACTCACTCACCTTTTTGTACATCTTCCATATGTCGGGATATTGAATTGGAAAAATGACAAAACGTTTGGGATTTTCTTTAAGCAATGGCTCTATGGATGGGTCGAATTTCGCGACAGAGCTACCGGACGCCGTTGTCACAGTTGTACGCTTGTCTTCATCATTACTTGCCTGCTCCTCGTAGACTTTTGATGCTGCCGTTATGGGCTCTTTTTGACCATTACTAAATTTTTCATTTAAAATTTTCCGTGCGTTCTGGCAATATAAACGCAAATGTGAATTCTTCATTTTAAAAACAACAAAAATTCAAACTACCTTGTTTAAGGATTTATCCAAAAGTTCAGAAAAATTTTCTTTTCCAATATTGTCGGTAATAGGCATCGTGATAGCTTAATTTTTATTTTCAAAAGCACTCAAATTGCTCGGAAGTAATTAATTATTACCCAATGCACTCAGCACTTTCTTAAATTAGTCTTTAACGAAAACTATATTATACGTTTTGTCGCTTACAATGAGCACTAATAACGCTTAACGCGGATGTTCCCGCATTATCACACCGTTGAAGTTGTATATTTTTGGCGGGCAAATTATTCATCTGGCATGACTAAAATACTTAGTATTAGTAAAATGGAAAGCTCAGTATGATAAACTGTTCATATTCACCAGAGAGCTGTAGGGCATAATCGCGTATGAAAAATTCAACTTTCGCCTTATGTATAATAGCTAAGTGCGAAAATGAAAGTTCACTTTCGACAAATTTTTCATATCAGCGCTATTACAGGTGCGAATCACAGCATCGTCTCAGTTTAAGGAAAATAAAGTCATAATTGTATGAATTGCTCAAACAAATTTTGAAATATTTTATGTATTAATTACATCCCAATCTTCCCACCTCCTTTAGGATGAATACTGTCTTCTAACTGAGAGTTTAGGGGGCTGCCACAACGAGGCGCTCTTCCTATTTTTGGGGCTGGGACTCCAACTCTGCCGACTTCTTCCAAAAGTTTTTTTTTGCACATATAAGCGACGGGCGATAGGTTTGCTAAAGAAGAGGAGAAAGGATTGACAAATCATATGGTTTTGATTATAGAAATAAAACAAAAGAAAAAAAACACAAGAAGAAGATCGTTTCTTTTAAATTTAAAATGTAAAATTTATTTAATATATGTTTACATTAATACATTTTTACATACTTTTATATGATTTGCACTTTTGATTAATACTATGCATTTTGAAAGAAATGAAAAACAAGCAATAAAGATTATTTTAAGGTTAAAATATATTTATCCAATTGTTTTACCATTTATAACTCTCTGAAAATTTCCAAACTGCCCATCTATGCATACATGAAGAGGATGGCAATGACGTTACAAAATTTAGGCAAATTATGAAGATTATCAAAATTGTTTTTTTTTATTTATATAAATCTATTATTTATGTTTACGATGCTTCCTTTATTTTTGATGCTAAAAGCATATGTCGTTGTTTACATTTTCCTCTAAAACAATATGGTAACGCGACGGCCGTTTGTGAGCGTTTGTGAGCTTTTAACCCGAAAACAAAATTGACGTCGGAAGGAGAAGAAGATCTTTTGTAACCATACAATTGAAGAGTTAAATTTACAATATAGGGTAAAAATTCTGATCGAGAAACATGGTTCATTGTTTATAAATTTTCAAAGAAAATAAAATATTTATGCATAGGTTAAGATATGAATAACGCTAACGAACATCACAAGCGTTTACAATATTGCAGGACACGATTAAAATACCGACAAGGTCGTCAATTAAAAGCTGTAAAGGTAGGCAAAATTTTCTACAACGAATCAAATTATTAATTCATAATAAGGCTTCTTCAGGTTTACACCGTAGCCAGTGAGTCTCAATATTTGCTAATATTTGGAGTGCCTAAAATCAACTTGATACAAGAGTTAAAAAATAAACTGCGCCAATTTGGTTCGCTGGAAAACTTAAAAAATATTACCGAGAAATGGGTACAAACACTATCCTACGAATTGGAACCCTTCACAGAAGTTTACTGTGTAAAATATAAAAAAGTAGAAGAAGCAAGACGATGCAAACGCTATTTAGATGCTAGAGAATTTTATGGCGGTATTTTGCATATATCCTATGCGCCGGAATACGAAACTCTTGAAGAACTGAAAAGCAAATTACAGCAAAGAGCATATGAAATCAATTGCCGCATAAAAAGTAATCAAAATTACATAAAGAAAAATAAGAGAATAGAATAGTTATTTACATTCTGTAATAATAGAAAATTTATTTTTATGCCGTAAAAAAATCCTGAAAAATATATATGCATTTATTTTTTTAGCTGGTGTACAATTGTATCTATTATTAACATGAAGGGTTTGCATTCGTTACTTATGTTTAACAAATACAAGGATGCAAGTTCGAAAGTATATTAATGAACGCTACTGTTTAGTTTTGCGCCAGTCGTGGTATTTGGTTACAAAAGGCAAACGTTTTTGCCATATATCGATACCGTAGAAAGCCCAAAAGCTTAAAAGAATTCCATTCTCAATTATATGAAATAAGGCAAAACAAAATTCTTAACTTACAGACCGAACAGCGCACCACCTAAATGAGCAGCATGATCGAAAAACTTCCATCCCAAAATACATCCGGCGAAGTCTACGCCCATTATAACTTTAATTGCTGCACCAGCCGAAAAAGTCAACATAGGTAGGAATAATATGCTCAATTGGGTATCAGGATATTGTGCACATACGTAAGCTAAAATCGCCATTATCGCACCTGACTAAACATATAATGATTATCATTTTTATTTTGTCGAACTTGTGAGTATTTATATTTACCGCTCCTAGCGAAAGACCGGCTTGAGCGGTTACAGACTTATACAAAATACTGGCGAAACTGGCTACCACTCCTGCACTTAAATATAATCCCAAAAATTGTTCCTTTCCCAAAGATATAATGGCAGGATTGCAAAAACTATGCAATACATACCTAGAGAAGAAAAAGAGAAGTAAATGAGTGAACTTTGAATTCTGGCAAATTAAAGGGGAAGTAAATGAGCGAGCCAGAATTACCACTTGGTGCGATGTATTTAAATTTCGAATTTTGTTACTTACATATTTGCAAACAAATGTAAACCAGAATAATGACTAAATGTGGATAAAAACATAGGCCAACAAACCGCACCTATAAGCAAATTATATGAAATAAGAAAGAGAAACTTAACTTTTGATATATCCTTCACTTACGTGAGGCTGGATTTGAACAGAAATAATGTAACATAACCTCGCGCCAAGCGGGTACACGCCACGCAAGAAAAACTAGGACGTTTACGGCACAAATTGGAACAAATATCTTTTCGCTAGGAGTTAACTGATCCCAATGACGTTTCACGTCTTTTTTTAGATTTTGTAAAGTGCCATCGTTCGTCTTACGCGGAAACCAGGATAATTTCGCCTGACGAGCTTTCTCCAACATCATGTTTCGGGTATTTTCGTATTCCAAAATACTGGCTCCCAAAAATGAGCCAAAACTAAACTAAAACACATGTTAACGAATATTTTTAGAGGGTTTGGCAAGTAATTTACCGCTCCCGTGAAGAGAAAAGCCTTCGCTACGTTGCCCAACGGCACTGGTTCACCTCCAGTAGCTTCCATAGGTTGAAATTTCGTTCGAATAGCATTTCTATGACGTGCACTGGTGCGTACACTGCGACAAATAATCCGTTGGCCTATTGAAGATTGGGAACTTGTTTTACCTACGTGATTCCATAACAAACACGTATCTCTAGAATAAATAAATTAAATTCGGCATTTCGATTTTTACACATTAGATATCATCCGAAATTACCGAAATTGTTGCTGCCAGTTATGCCTTAAACCGACACGCAGTAGCATAATTCTCATAGTTTTCTTTCTTCACTTTTTCAATGTTGTTTTTATTCAATAATTGCTCAATTTTTTTTTTGCTTTGACAAAAATAAAAATAAAATGTACTTTTTTGTTCTCAAGCTGTCATTTGATAAAACTGTCATATACTGTCATGCCGACTAGAGTGATTGATTGCCGTTAGTGAAATTTTGTGTTTCAATTAGAGGAGCAAATTATTTAATAAGGCGGACTAAGCTAAATTTCGCAAATGTACACAACCCCCTTTTTTTAATGTACGAATCGTGGACAAATGATTCATATTAAAAATTCAGAAGATGCTTTCTTATTTTAAGCGCATAATTATAACAATTGTGACTGTAGGAAAAATATTTCCTTTATATAAATATGAACACGAACCTAAAGAAGAAATTCGATGAAACATTAACTACAAAAATAACATAAAATATTAATAACAGAATAAAGCAAGAAATTCTCCATTGCCGTAATTTCATCGTTAATAACACCTAAAAACTGAGTTAAGTAACGTATATTACAAAGAATCAAAAGGGTAGACTATGCTGTGTTTTCTCGATTAGGAGAATTCGTGTAAGTTTGCGCTTAAACAATTATGTGTTATTCCCATTTTCGGGAAGAGATTTCAACTTTATTGAATTTTTTAAGAGATTTTGTTCAAAATGACAAATCATATGGTCTTGCACATATGCGCACATATTCACACAAGCACACGAAAAGAAAAAAAGGCAAGAAGAAACAGAACTTATTATCTAGTTTATGTTTATTTGGTACTAATCTAGATCCTTTTTTACGGTACAAATTTTCAAATTTTAATTCATACTCTATATTATTTTATACACAATCAAAAACGAGCACTAAAGACAATTTATTTATAATTTTAAACATATTTGTCAAATCGAAACACGACCAATTATTTGCTTTGTTTTACTAAGGCAGTCCACTCGCAAAGGAAAAAAAGTAAGAAAGCATCGCAAGGATTACGGCATGAAGAAAATTCAATTTGTGGAATTTGGGCGGTTTATTTACCGTTTTTGTGGAATCTGGTCGCTCAGATGGACGTAATTTTTAGACAAATAGAGTAAATTTAGGAATGTTAATATATCTTTCTCTGATTTAGAAATTATTTTCTTCAGATAAGTCACAAGTGGAAACCACAATAGGGAGCCACATTACCATATTATTTTCTGAGAAAATAGAACGACTTCAATGCAACTATAAATAAAAGCACATTAAAGTGAACATACCGAGATCATCCTTTGAAAGTTAGGCAAATTCCTGAAGGCCTGAAATTGACTTATAAGGGTTTTCGTAGTGATTATCCAAGCGACCGAGTCCCTCGCAAATTTCATGGTTCGAGAATTGACTATAAAGAAGTCAACATAGATGGAAGCAAAGGAATATATGAAAGGCGATAAAATAATTAATGCAAAATGCAATCATATCTTTTTTCTACGAAATAGCACCTCGATACGACACGATAGCTCAGCTTATGTCAGCAAAAGCCCAAAAATTTCAAAATGGAAAAATATAACTGGAATTATTGTTTCTGCTAATGTAAACAATGAATAGCTGACTAAAAAATTTGATTTCCCAATTGCGGTCTCAGAAGCGACATTATTTGCCTTATTAAGATGAAATACAACGGTCCCCTGTTCAAAATTAACATAGTGAGTAGGTCCTCATATACATGTGTGGTTTTGCAATTTCCTGATCATCTTCTATTTGTATGTCCGAATGTACCCACTTCTATTCGCATTCCAGACTTCGCAAATTTCCTATACATTGTCTTCATGGCTGCAGCAATTTGGCAGCTTGCCGATTTGCTGATTTTTGGAGAAGAAAAAATTTGAAAGAAAATGTTATAAGGGAAAGACAAAATTCTCGAGATCGAAATCATCATTCTGCGTAGGAAAATCGAAAACTAAACTAGCTTAACTATCTGTGATTTTATAAACAAAGAACTGGGATTGCTTGTGTCTTCTCTTCAATGATTGAAGGAAGATCAGGCGAACAAGGGATGAAATGCTTAAAAACAAAGTATCGATTAATAGCTCTGTGCTGGTAATTTGTCGCAAGACCCTCTTATATTGTATTATTTATAACAATTTGGAACTTTCCTTTAACATACTGTAAAAATGGGACTACAATCTTTTTAATAATAATGATATCACATCGTAGAAATAAAACTAATAGCTTTCAGTTTTTTGTTTTTATTTTTGGTAATTAAGAAACTGTAATTTCAATAAACTTAAATTTAAATATATCAATCTTCACCTCCATGTTGTATTTTTTTGTAGATTTTGTTTTATGTCCGTGTCTTTTAAATTTTATTTATTTTCCGTTTTACTTTTTATATATAGATTGTGAAAAAATTTATAATTCACATTTTTGCAAGTGAATTTTGCGATATTATTTTACACATTAATTTTTTTTTTTTTTGCGTTTTCATTTATTCTTTTATTAAAATATGCGTTTTCTCTCTTTATGGACAATAGTGTTTCTTTATGTGTGTGTGTCTGTATGAATTTATTTAATTTAATAAATATACTCAATCTTTTGAAAATATGAATTTTTTTTTTTTTATTTAATTATGTATGTAGAAGGAGAAAATAATAAAAGTTATGTCATGCGATGTGAGTTTTTTTGAGAATAATTTTTTTATATATATATAAAAAATGTCTCTTCTTTGATTTGTTAAGTAAGTTAAGCAAATACCACTTTTCAATGTTTTGGTTTTTGATTCTTATTGATTTCAATATACTAACGACGTATTGGGTTTACAATATTGAGGTTGTCTGTATTTCATTTTCTATTTTCCATATCGTTACGTCTATAATCGATAAAAAGGTCATATTTGGGAAGCAATGTTTTTATCTTGTTTTTCTCGTTTTCTCTTTTTTTTGTTTTGTTTTGTTTTCTTCGCTTAATACTCGCAGAATTAAAATTTGAAAACACCGTTAGGAAAGTTTAGTAAATTACATTTAAAAAAACGTGTACATTTTTTGCTTGTGTATATATGGTTAAGTTGGATTTCTGTACTTACCTTATCAAGTATAAGAAGAGAATAACACATCAATTGATTGTTATCCGTGATGTTAATTAAAAGATATATATATCTATTTATTCATGAATACATATGCATTGTATATATATACATAAAAAACACCGATTGCTTTTGAGGATAATAGCAAGAGAAAAAAAAGAAATGAAAACACACATTGTTATATATACTCACACATATATCTTGTATATATGTAAATATATATGTATTTATATACACTGAGAGAAAAAAAAAAAAAAATAATTTACATACGTATCAAAGAAAATTGATTAAAAGGAAGTACAAAAAAAACAATATAAGCAATCAATCACGCGTAATTAACCAGTTTCCATTGCCTGACAACAATGGGGAGCTATTTTCGTATACAACAATTATTGATTGCTAATTGCTCTCTTAACAAAGGATTCTCCAAGAAAAACCCTGTAATTCGGTTTTATGTAGGCTTAGACAGGCACTCAGCTACCAAAAAAGGTATCCAGACTCTAGTTCCGGTAAGAAATTATCGATTTTCTGCCATCACGATTAACAAAAAAACTGTTCAGCAAATATATATAATATAACGTCTCTTCACGCGGGAGCCCACTAGTTCTTATCTCAGATAAAGTATTAAATATATCTAAGCACAAAAATTTTATCTAAGCAACAAAAATATTACCGATTCCTAAACAAAGTTATACGATCACTTCTTAAGAGTACCTCAGTGCGGTTGTTATTTAGATAATACAATTTTTACATGATAAATGGGTTCGAAGATTTTGAATAAGATAAGGTTACGTTCACCTAGCAAAAAAAGCCAAGAGGCAGATCCACAAAATTCACAAGCTGGCACAGCTGGCGATGCAAAAAATTTAAAAGTATTTTTTGTCTCAATTTTAAAATTCATAGAAATTTTCGCGTAGAGTTACCCCCACAAAAAGAAAAGTTTATAAACGTAATATATCAGAGTCGCATTCAGCCAAAATATCAGATAATAGATATTAAGATAAATTGACTTTCTTTCGCATGTACTATAACGGTAACTATTACATAATTCCTTAATATAACATTTAATGGATTTTTCTTGTAGTTTTTGTTTTCTTCTCTTTCTTTTATTGAATAATCATAATTTAATAAACGTAGTAAGTAATTAGAATAGGATTGATTGATTGATGATTGTGTGTGTGTGTGTGTGTGTGTGTGTGTGTGTGTGTGTGTGTATTAGAGAAATTTAAATGTGTTCTTCTTGTTGGTTTAAGTTTTTTATTTATAATATAAAATTATTGTTATGATAATGATATATATTTTCTCTTTCTTTGAAACAAATAATGTAGGAAAATGCACCACTGTAAAGTTTTAATTTACTCAGTAAAAAAAAAGAGAAAAAAAGAGGAAGAATGAGAAAGCAATAACAATAAAACACGATATACACCAACGATTACGTAAAGTTAACGTAAACAACTGTTTTATTTTGAAATCTTAGAAAAAAAAAAAAAAAAAGACAAAATTATAATCATCATATAAAAAAAAAGCTGTTTTTTTTTTTATAAGATATTTCTTTTAATAAACTTAAAACAAAAGTTGTCAAAGAGAACATTCTTTGGGTATGAGAGAGATAGATAGAAAGGGACACAAGGTGAAGAAATCCACATTCATATTTTGATTTGGCCTCATATTTAATATATATATATGTATATATATATATATATTTAGAATTAGAAAAATTAACATACTTTACTTTCTTTTGTTTTTGTAATCCATAAACTTAATAAAGAAAACAGTTTTGTTGGAATTTTTTTTTTTTTTTTGTTTTTGGTTATTATAAAAAAAAAGGAAAGAAAAAAAAAGAAAAAAAAAAAAAAAAAAAAAAAAGAAAAAATAATAAGAGCAAAAACAATAAGCTAAATTATTTATCATAAAAAAAAAAAAATAATAATAAATAATATACTGCTCTGCGCCTAACAAAAGAAAAATAATGAAAAATAAGTTGTCTGGCTATATAAGTTGTAGTATATGGGTAAACTATTTTGAATGAAAATTAAATGAAAATTAATTTCGAATATCTTTTTTTTGTTTTTGTTTTCGTTTTTCTCGCGCGAACAAAGAAATACATACATAATATAAAGGATACGAGTACAGAGAGAAAGAGAGAGATAGATAGAGAATAAAAATAGTTTTCGGATCATATTAGAATTTGAAAATTTTTCGTTCTTCATTGTTTCTGCTGCCAAAATCATGATAAAAAAGAAAATTTGGACATTTTGCAAAAATGAAATTAATTTACTTTTTATTTTCTGAATATTCTCTTAAACACATGGTAGTGGTGGTGTTAATGTCGAAGGAAAGAAGAGGCGTGGTTCTTTTATAGGAAGTGAATAGGAAATTTGTCTATTGTTTACTTTTGTACCAGGCGCGTTCAGCTCCTAAATTTACAAGTGCAATAAAGAAGGAAAAAATGTCCATTTTGAGTATCGTTATCGATATCTTCTCATTTTTTAAAAGGAAAAGGAAAAATTTACAGAGAGAACGAACTGACCTTGAAATATTCCTTTTTTTCTTTTTTTTTTCATCACAATTTTTCCGATTGAATGTGTTTTCCATATTATGAAAAATCTTTTTAAATAATTGTTTCCAATTTTCAAAAATGTCTGCAAAAATCTTAAGAAAAAAGAACGCCATTTTGTTGTTGTTGTTGTTGTTTGTTTATCATGTCGAAGTAATTTTTTGGTTTTCTTTCTCTGTTTATAACCGATAAATGTTTTTTAGCCGTTTTCCTCTTGACTCCCCCATTTTTCTTTTCTGTGGACCTTTTCTCTCTGCTGCTCTGTTTCGCTGATGATGTTGTTTAACATTATATGTTGACCATGTTCTCATTGTTGTTGTTGATTCTGCTGTTGCTTTTTGTTCTTTTTTTTTGTAGTAGATCCATATACGACATTCTTATTTTTAAATTCATGCCTTTTTTGTGTTTTCTTTTTTTTTGTTTTTTGTTTGCTTTAGAGTTCATTCAACTGTAATTGTTTGGATTCTCTTTTTTTTTATTGTTGTTGCAGTAGTTGTTGATAGAAATATTTCTGATTTTTTCATAGGTTCTGTTTAATTTCTGCTGTGTTTTTGTTGTTGTTGTTATTGTGTTGTTTTTTTTTTTTTTTATTTGTTTGCATAGTGAAAAAGGAAACAATTTAGTTGTTTGGTTAGTTGTCACCACCTTCTTGTGGCTCATCGCCGTCCCCTTGAGTATCCGATGTCCACAAAGTCAGGTTATCTCTCAACAATTGCATAATAAGTGTTGAGTCCTTGTATGAGTCCTCATTGAGTGTATCAAGTTCAGCTATCGCATCATCGAATGCCTATTTTAAAAACGATACACACATTATTATTTAATATGCTTTTGAAAAAAAAAAAAAAAAAATTGAAATTGAATAAGAAAAAAAAAATATTTCAAAATTCTTAAGCAGTTTTCAACTTTCATTTTGTGGGCGTAAAAACACAAACATTTATTAATCATAGCCTACAAAAAACTTTCATTACAAAAAAAATAGAAAAAAACAAAAACCATTGAAAAATAATCGAACTACAATACATTTTAATCATTACGCGTCCGAAAACTATTGATCCTTGACAATATGAACTCGTCATATTCATCCACTTATTACTGATTATCATCTCAGGGTTAACTCTCTGGCAACTCAATTATTTTGGTAAAAATTATATATGAACTGACAGTTTCTCTTAATGTAATGTAACCCTTCTCGAGCTAACGGGAACTTCTGAGAAATGTATCGAGCAATTATTAGTTCCTCCGTTGCCAAAAGTTTTTTTTACTTTCTTTTTCTGCTAATAACGAAAAAAAATTGGGGCTCCTATCGGTATTGGAAATACGGAAAGTGTCTTAGAACTCATATTAAGGGGATGCGGCTCAAGAACAGCGTAATGGTTAAACACATTTCGCTTTGCGTCGTGAGGCAATTTAAATCAGAGATTATCAGATTCAATTACTATTTGAACATCTCTTTTTATTAGTTCGTATCCAAACGCGAAGACACATCCGTCAATAGGAATGAAGGACCGTGGGGGGAATAAGAATGAAAATATGGTTTTCAGAATTTGTTGGCATTCTATTCAACTCAACTTTGAAAAGCGGCGGAATAAATCTATACAACCGGCTCAAAATTCTACAAAGATTGGTTTTATTCTTCACCAGAGTGATTCACTTGTTTCGAAACGACTTGGCCATAATGGCGGATCGAATTGTTTTGAACCATAGTTTCTCTATAGAGTACAATCTAAAAATCAACCTAAGCATTCACGAATAGCTTTCCGATTCTTATACTTTGTTTATGCATTTTTTTTGGTTGGACCCCACGACTCACGGTAATAAAACCACCCCATTAAATTTACAAGTCAACAAAACCCGTAGGAAAGGCATTAAACTCTTTCACATTAGTTCGATTTAGCCACAACTATTTAGGACATCGCTTCATTCATGAGAGTATAATAAAAAGCGCTTAGTAATGTAATCGGCGATCTCGGAGGGTTATGTTTTTATTTCCATAACCGAAGCTTTTGGCAAAGCATGTGAAGACAACTAGATCGATAAATGATAGCGGTTATGAAATGTATATCGTCTTCTTGATCAATCTGCAAATCTGTGAATCTGTCTGTCTGTCCGTCGGTGTAATGTCCGATAGTAGGCTGAAGATATCGGTTGCAACTTTTGCAAAAAAGAACGTTGCAAGTTCTTGCGCTTAGAACGCCCCTCAAGTCGTGCAGCAAAACATGAATTGATTGAGCGTGCACAGATCCAAGTGCGAAAAGTGAGCAACGCCTACGCAATATTAATATTGGAAGATTATTGAAATATCATATTTTTTATTTTTGTTTTTTTTTCAAGACAAAGGTAGAGGTAGTAAAATATTCGACTATTTACTACTGTTTGCTTTGGTTTTTTTATTCGAATGTAAAAATCATTTGATGAAGAGTTTATTGTTAGCGGAAATTGAAAAAAAAATTCTTTAAATTACATTTCTGTACACTTTTTTTCAATCATGGGTTATTCATTCATGTATACGTCATAATTTCTCTCGTTCGACTGAATCCTTATTATTGCAGTTACATTTTTTTTGCGAAATAAATAAACATTCGAGGACTAGGAGTCTTTATTTTTTGAAATGAGCCTAAATGTATCGGAATTTTGGGTGACGTACTTAAGGCACTTAAAGTAACATTAAATAAATTAATTTTATATTTAACGTTTTCTTTCATTTTCCTCCTGAAGTAATGAAAATTTATTGTAGATGTGTACGCATATAGAGAAAATATAGGATGATATAGGTGGGGAGGAGGAATGCTTTACATTATTTCGATAAAGCATTCAAATTTCGAAACAGGCAAAGGATGTTTATAATAAATACTATATATTACCCAGTAGAGCCTGAACAAAAAATTTGAAATATATATTAGTAGTAAATAAGAGGAGCACCATTTGGATGATAATGCACATGCATGCATACTTTTCATAGTACGTCACAAACAATAATAATACATCATTCGAGGATTAAAATATACAACAAAGCACTTTATAAAGGGCCAGAGCTTCGAGCAGTTATACACAAGGGCAATAAACTATAAAATTACGGCTCGTTTACAGGATGAAAATAATATGTATGTGCGCGGGCGTGTGCGTGTGTATGTGTTTGATGTTAGTAAATAAAAATTTTTAAAATTTTATTAAGTTCATGTGGAAGAAGAAGATACACAAAGCACAACATAGAAATTTTTGTAGCAAATTTTTCAACATTTTTACGATTCCTTTCATTTAATATACTCTTATAGTGGACGGATCGTCAAATTAAAATTCATCATGTAAACGTGCTCTCGGTAAATAAATGGACTTTTCAGAATATGGTTAGAATTCATTCATAGCTTAGATTAGTGCACAACATAAGAAGAATCGATAAATTTTAATATGTCGATTACTGTTTTTTGTTGCTCTTTTATCGCTTATATGAATCTCTTAAAAAATATATCGGAAAAAGCACAACATATAAATTATATATATCAGAGCAGAATTGGAGTAGGAAGGAGATAATATAAATGCAAATGCAAAAAAAGAAAAAAAAAAAAAGAAAGACCACAAAACCTGTTTAGCTAAATGACAGGCCCGCGCTGGTGAATTGATAATTTCATAATAGAAGACGGAAAAGTTCAGAGCAAGACCTAATCTGATGGGATGTGTGGGCTGCATTTTAGTTTTCGCAATATCGAATGCCTCCTGATAGGCCTTTTTCGAATCTTCAACCACGGCTATAACAAGTTTAAATAGAAGAAGAATAAGAAGAAGAAGAAAGAATAAAATAATCAACAAAAATTAAAGGAAAAAAAGTATTTAGTTTGAAAAAAGCGAAATGAAAATGAAAAGCCAAAAAAAAGCAAAAAGAAGCGATTAAGTCCCTAAGTCTAAATCTTCTAAAAGCCCTAAATTATTGCATTTCAGACCTGTAGAAAAACAGTAAGTAGTATTAATATAATAATAATATGGTTTTTGTTGCGCGTTCTCTATCTCTGCTGATCGAAGAATTTTGAAATACATTTTTCTATTTTTTGTTTTCAATTAACCTGTTTAGCCAATTGGCAAGCTTTGTCTGGTGAGTTTAGAATCTCATAATAGAAGACTGAGAAGTTAAGTGCCAGACCCAATCTGATGGGATGTGTTGGCTGCATTTTACCCTTGCTAATTTCAAATGCATCCTGGTAAGCGGTTTGCGAGTCGTCAACAACGGCTAAGAATATTTCGATTATTTTTTAACAACATTTTTTCATATTGTATTGTTTTATATTATTATATATTATTATATAACTAACAAAAATTAGGCATAATCTTTAATAATAATAATAATAAGGGAATCTCTCTTTTAAGGATAACACATAATAAATAATAATAATAACATGTATAAAAGCAATAGAAAGAATACTTACTGTTGCGCGCATCCCCTGTGGCTACTTCAGCTAAATACCTGTAATAATCTCCCTTCATTTTCAGATAGAAAACCTTACTTTCTGGATTGCTGGCTTTGGGGATAAGATATTTATCAAGAAGACCCTGCAAAAACGAAAGCATGAAAAAGAAAAATAAAACAATGAATAAGAATTGATTCATTTTATGCTTCAATTAACTAAATAATTCCTTCTTTTTTTTTTTTAAGCAACCAAGTTGCCAGTTTATCAGTTTAGTAGCAAGCTTTTGTCCTTGTAGAGAACGTTTGATGAGAACTATTGTAAAAATCAATAAACAATAACAAGTAAGCAAGTTATATTCGTTAGGCACTGATTCTCTCGTACCCACCACATGCACGCTTGGGCCACTTAATATTTTTTTAAACGCTCCTAGATTTGATGCATTGAATGTCTTTTCATAATTAAATTGTAACTAATACACTTTATCTTTACTCCACTCATCAACTTCTTTCATTTGATACCTATATCGGAAGTATCGTGACGTCTATTACAATTAATTTGGAATTAGCTCCTCGATGAGGTACCCATATCTATGGTATTGTAACGAAAAAATTGCTTCACAACGTCTTGACGTCCGCGACATTTCATTTGGAGCTAATCCAGTTAGCTTTGCGCATCCTACTCTCCAAATCCTCTTATTTGATACCCACATCAACGCCATACTACCATGCATGCAACTATAGTTCCCTACGTCGTGACGATCGAGATATTTAAATTGGAACTGATCCACTTAGTTTTTCGCATTCTACTCTCCCAGACCTTTTATTTGAACGCGATGTCTACCGTACTCATTTTAAAATTAACGGGTTTTTAGGCAGGTAATAAATCTTCACTTGAGGAGTGTACAAAATGGCTCGAAACGTTTTGTCTTGTTTGTTTGCGTTACCTCAAAAAAGTGACAATAAATAAAATTTACTCACTTGTAAACCTGTGTGGGCATAGCCGATTTTTCTCATTTTTGCAAATAGTAAAGAACAAAGTGTTTCCTAAAGTGAATATGGAAATGTGATCCAGTTTACGCTCCACAGTGGGCTCCGGCTCGGACTAATTTGATCCATTTCGAATACCAACCCGCGTGCGAAAACTTCGAACATTTCTACCAAATTTGAAGTCGATAACCTCATATCCTCCACCGCCAACAACAAACACCACACCGACGGACAGACATGGCTTAATCAATTCAGAATTTCACGCTTTATAAAGCCTTTGAAGTTTCCTTCTGACTTTTATATATATTATGAAGAAAAGAGCCTAATGAGTTCACTTCCTTCCTTCAGTGGTGGGTATGGAAATATAATCCCTAAACGGACTAAGGGAGTTTACTCCTATCCTTCAGGGTTGGGTATGAAAATATAATCGCTAAAACGTACTAAGAGCTGTTGAAACTAAAACCCTTTTCTTTTTTTTTTTTGGTTAATTATCGAGGATCCCATTGATGGCTGCATTCGAGAAGACTTCTTTTCAGACGTAGGGATTTCACTGTGTTCTCCGAATTCGTTTTTCGCTCCCTCGCCCTCGCTGAAACGAGATCTCTGTTCGCGCTTCAATCAAATTTGTGCAAAAAATTCAATTTAGCTAAAGCAAGGTTTTCCCCATAGCCCAACAAACCCTACAAATAAATAGATCGTGCTATATACTGCTTCTTACATTCCCTGACTGCAAAAAACCAGGTACACTACGTGTAAAATGCCCGTCAAAGCGACTTTGGTCTTTTCTCGTCAAAACTCCTTCTTTTTTCTTGCTATAGTTCATTGTGCTGCATGTTTTTGTTTACTTTGTTTGTTACTTTTTTACGGAAAAGATTATTCTCCGCATGCTTTCACTACTGGCCACTAATAATATTAATTTAACTAAATAAATTGTTAATGAAATTTTTTTTTTTTTTAATTTGAAGTAATTTAATTTAGCGCTCTGGCTGTATTATGCAGGCGTCATGCTTCTTCTTTTTAAAATTGAAATCTCAGAACCTACGAATCAAGTTTCAGTGGATGTTCTTTTATACACATATCTCTTGGTGAAACTGGAAAATACTTGCGATAGATGATCCACTCACTCACTCTCCCTCTCTTTTATGTTAATTTATAAAAAAAAGTGTGAAAACATTTACGTTTCTTTCGAAACTGCGTAATACCTGCTTCTTCTTTTTCTCGACACATGTACTGTGACGCGTGTCTATAAACAACTTTCTATCCTACATTAGGCAACGATTATCAGAAAGTAGGAGGCAAGTGTAGCAAGCTAATGCTGAACTTCTGAATATATTATAGAAACTTCAAATCCTATAAACTCAAAACTATTATTTATATACCTTTGGATCCCGGAATTAATTCATTGAATAAATTTTATTCGTGATCATACCGACCAAGTCAACCCTGTTCTATATATATATAGATATATTTCTATTGTACCAAACCCATGTCTTTCTTTACTTCCTTAGGCATAGCACGCGTAGGAAAACCAATATTTCATACAAACAAAATATACTATAAGCAGTAACCAAAAGAATTCGTATATGGGTAAAGAATATACGTGATCGAAACTTAGCTCTTAGCAAATTTATTTTTTCATTATATAAGCCACAGTGTTGCATCAACTTCTCTTCTCTCATTAAATTTTAGAAAAAATTGATTACCTTCTGCCATATAAAGACGACCCTTTAACACGAACACATGTGGGAAGGGATTTCTGCTACGTGTCTTACTTCTTACCGGTTTTTGTTGAAAAATATTAAAAATTTACAATATTTTTAATAGAAAGATCTTTTTTAGAAGAGGGCGCTACATTAGAAGTGGCTGCAATAATAACCCTTTCTAATTTATTTTCATTCGAGTTCGACCTTATGTCTCCGTCATATTCGCAATAGGAAATGACTCTGGGCCATTTTCTCGGTTAATGGTTTACGTCGAGGCCTACCGAAGTAACTTTTAGATAGCTCTCCGCAAAACTTTGGGGTAACCGTATCCACCACGAATACTCCCCGAAGGATCGTACCCAAGCAGTCAGGTAAGAAGGCATCCCGGCTGCCAGATGGATAGTGTGCATCTTCCTGCCACGAACAATTCTACTTTTGGGCAACCTGATCTTCGTGGACACCCTCTAATTTACTGGTTCGATCTAGAACTTACACCAACTATACAGCTTTGGGCGCTCTCTTACTGTCCACGGCTGCAGCCGATCTTACCTTTGGCCTATCCCCACCACCCTGAAGACAAGAAGGTAAGAAGGGACAATCACACAAACCAATCGAACTTAAATCAATTCAGAGGGGGATTTCGAGTACAACTCAACAAGTCAACCTCAATTGATGTGGGATATAAAAAAAAAAGGCGGTCGTTTTTTGTCAGGGGAATTTTATTTGCGCGTCCAGCAAAAAATATAAAATTTGCTTTGCTTTATCCACCCTTAGCTTATATCTGCGCCTTTACTAAATACATGTTCTATCAGAATATATATGAAATTCTTCTAAAAGGTATATAGCACGCGCCGCTTTTAACTTTTCCGCAAAAGTATTTTCTAATTAGAGCAGAGGAAACTTCTCATGACTTCACAACGTTATTAAGTTAAATATAGATTTATTGATTACTTTGTTGTTTTAAGTATTTATACTAACTTAACTAATGGTACGGTTGAGCGCTGCTATCAATTTCACAAATGCAAAGGCAAATTCATAACAAGTATATTATATTTGCACTAGGTCTAACCAATTACGTATAAGGGAGCATACTACACAACTACACAACAACGACGGGTGAAAGAATATGAACGAAAGCATGCTGCTTGCTTATATACGTATAGCGTTACAGATGGGGAAGGGGAAGGGGAATGGTGTGCAGGAACAAGTGTTATTATTAATAATGTGCACACGGAGGCAGCATATGCTTTTTTCGATGAATTGAATGACATGAAGCGAACCTGATACTCATCAACTATAACTAATTCTTCCTGAATAATATTAAAAAAAAAAAAAAATTATAATAAATTTCTTTTCTCTTTTTTGATAAAACAAAGTGACATTCAAAGGGTAAGAACGATTTTTCCAATTTGTACAGTTTTCAACGACATAAAGCCTGTTTTAGACATTCCAAGTTTTTATTATTATTAGTAAAAAAAAAAAAAAAAAAAAGTAATAATTGTTGCTAGTTATTTGTTTGCAAATGTCATTTGCACATTGATGCTAGGGTGGTGGGGATGATTCCGTTCATTATCGTTATCTTTAAAATAAATGAAATATTTTCTTTTATATGGGAATGATGACAATGAGTAGGAGGCGCCGCAAATATGAAAATTGAAGGCAAAACTTACCAAAACTTCGTAACAAATTTCCCTAAGTTCCTTCTCCACACGTTCTCTGTACTCGCGGGCGAGCTGTTGTTTTCTGGCGGAGGCTTCGGTTTTCTGCTCAATGGAGGAAATTACTCTCCATGATGATCTGCAAGAGTAAAATTCAAAAAAAAAAAAAAATATTATTTATATTATAAAAATAATAATATAAAAAAAAATTTGTTTACGGCTTCGATTGAATTTCTCCATAACAATAGCTGAAGTTTACACATACGAGATGTAAGAGAAAAATAAATGCAAGATTGAAGTAAAGCTGCTAATGATAGGGAATCGAAGAATAGAAGCGAGAATAGTGGAAACGTGGAAAGAGACGATGACAGAAATTGTAGTGTTTATATGTAAGAAGTCTGGATGTTGTTTCGAGAAAGTTGAAGACAATTAAAGATAAAGGAAAGGAGAAGCTTAACGAAACCGTAAAAGAAAAACCGACTCTGTGCTTATGGTGTTTCGATGAATTCGATTTTAAATAGAAAAGGTGAAGTAAGTAGGTAAGAGCGACTAACAGGTAATTGAGCAGCAATCACATCATCGTACGCATCAACATTCTTCTTCTTCGTGGGAAAAGAATTTTTTTTATTAAAAAGTGATGGATATAAGATCCTTCGTCCTATTTATTTTACTCTTTGAATTCGTGGAGGCAGCTTTAAAACGAAAACCTTAAAATCAAGCTAAGTAAACTTTTTGAAATTTCAAGTTAATATTAGGTCCAGTCATAAGTAACTTTTTTTTTTATCATTGAACAACAAAATTATATTATTATTAAGAGTCGATTTTGAGGTATTCGCAGTTTTTGGTATACGTCTGGTTGATTGGCGTCGATTTTGCTCCAATATTGCTTTTAAAAGGTTATCGTCAAAGTCGGAAGGACTTCCCGCCCTTGGTTCGTCTTGCAAAGTCGTATCTCCAGAACGGAATTTTAGAAACCAATTTCTAACTGACCGATTAGCCTTTCAGCGCGTACACTGCATATTTCTTCTACTGTCGCTCCAACGCTATTGCCTTGTTTAAATACCCAGAGCATGCCATGTCGAATATGAAGACTAACTGAATTCTCATCTATGTAGGGAGAACAAAAACTCATTTGTTTCAGTGAGTTATAGCCGCTAAGTACGAATAATAGATTCACCTATTTGCATCGGAAGTTAGGGATATAGAGTGAATAGACAGCAGTGGATGCTCTTGAACCGCAAAAATATTGTATGACAAAGAATGATGAAAGAGTTGAAAACCGATTCAAATTAAAGCAGGCTTAAAGGGAGGCCTAGGCTACAGAATACTGTCACCATGAATGGGCTCTTGATAATAGTGTGAATAAAAAATGAAATGAATTTTCCTTCTAAACTTCGCGAGTACTATGAAGTCATGAAATTATCTTTCTTGTGTATCCACCCACATGACATCTATGTAGAGTTCTAGGTACATATAATTAATTGCTGCAAATTTACACGTGCTCGTATAGACGCACAACAGTGGTTTTTTCTGATTTGATTATGTCTATGAAAGCAATGATTTCCTGATTACTAGGACGTAAGTAAACTCATCATTACGAGATTTATGATTGGGGTCTATGCATACGCGCTGAGAACAACCCAGTCATCGAACGAATATCGTTCAAAAAGGTGGACCATGATCAAAAAGCAACATCAATGTCAAACTTTCTTTGAATTGTGGCGCTCCTGGGGTATTATGAATTCCTTTCCCCCGACCAAAATATTAACAAGGAATATAATTTCAAGGTGATCAAATTGTTTAGGAAGAACGAGTACAAATTCTTTATATCCTTGACGAATCTATTTATTTTTTCATATAAAAATATAAGTCTTAATGGGTATATCCAGGAAAGTCATTATAAAAGTACAGAGAGAAGGAATATAAAGCAATGTCAAGATTTTTTTTTTTTTAGCAAAATATTGGGAGAATTATTTTTAAAATTCAATTCAATTAATAATTCAACTGTTATTAAAGAAACACATTAAGCAATTTCGCGGAAGGTCAAATGTTTTTTACTTTCTTTTTGAGAAAATTATTTTTATGTTTATTCTAATAAGCAAACCTTAAAATGCAACGGCGGTTAAGGTTAGAATAAAAATATTAAAAAAAAAAAATGAAATCATTCAATTACCTGCGGGCACCAACAACATTTTTGTAGGCAACTGAAAGTAGGTTTCTTTCCTCATTTGACAGTTCTACACCGGTTTCTGTGACTGATTTCATAGCCTGAGCCATATCATCGTATCTACATAGAATGAATGGAAAAATTATTTATTTATTTATTTATTTATTCATCGTCAGAAGAGTTCATTGTCAATAAATGTTTCGTGCTTTGCTTACCTTTCCGATTGCTCGGCCAATTTTGCCTTTTGAACCAATTCCTCTTTATCGACTGTCGACATTGTTAATATTTGTTGTTATTTATGTGCTGATTAAGTTTAGAGAAAATAATATAAACAAATTTTGTTTTCTTTTTTTTTTTTTTTTTTTTTTGGGTTTAGAGTTGCCCCACACAAATATTTCCTTAGTTCTTCCGTTGGTTTTTGGCGTTTTTTGTTCTGCTGTCTCACAATAATATCAATACTCGTATAGTGAGAGAGTGACAGAGAGAGATTATAACGTAAGGAATCTAAAACTGAATGCGTCGCTCTCACAAGTTGTTCTGACTAAAGTATCTGGAAGGGACAAAAAGAAACAAAGAATTAAAAAATTACATTTTTTTAACATAGTTTTTCTTCGTTAAGAATTGAATGTCATTGAAAAATAGAGCGAAAGCGATATATCGAAAAAGATCTTAAGATACAGAGAGAGAGAGAGAAAGCATAATACGATATTCCCTCTCAACAAGTTTATGCGTCGCATCTTTCTATGCTTGATTACTCATTGCATACATTTTATAGGTAGTAATTGCGTTGTTGATTTCTCTTCCTCTTGCTTCGCAACAATATATACAAATTTTATAAATGACTCATGAAGTTTTTGACCAAATTCCCAGCGCATTATTAAGGGACTTCAGTGCATATTTTCAATTGTGTGTGAGACGATTCTTTCCGATTCATTTACGCACTGCATCTTTCTTTTTTTTTCATGCATCGTTACGTTCATAAATTTAAATGTAATTCTACTTATTAAGTAGTAAACTTTCGAATGAAAGTTCCAAAGCTGTTAAGTTTTTTTTTTTTAATTTTTATCGCATTTTTTATGTGATAAAAATAGAAGCAAATGCGGCAATGATGCCGTTAGCTAAACTAAAGATTAATAATAACGAATATCGACCTAAAATTTCGTACAGATGTGTCCAAAAGAAGACGATCAGTATCGCGCATATGTCTCCATCATCTGAAAGGCAAAAACAGGTAACATCTTTCACTTGGCGTGAAATCTTAATCAGACGAATTATCCCTCGAACTATTGGTAATTAATACATAGTTCAATTTAACATCCCTCAGTTTTGCAAGACATTCCTGCAAAAGACAGAGAGAGCCTATTCTAAGCACTATGCACCAAATTAAAAGCTCAGGTATGCTGTAAATCTTTTCCTCTGGACAGGGCGAGGCCTCTTAAGCACCTCTTAATTATTTAACCGCTCCATCTTCGAGGGCAACCACGGCCAGTACGAATACTGCTCGAACGGCCGTATCCAAGCGGTCAGACCTCACTCATTGGTTCATCTATATGATTAAAACATATGAGCCTCCACCGAAGTTTCTGCATGGTAGGTATGAAACCGTCATTGCAAGTTTGGCGAGTATTAATCGCTGTTCAATCAACGCTATCACTTCCACCCGCGTCAGTAGGGTAGTCGTGACTTTGTGGACGGGCAACCTGACTCCCGTGGATTCCATCGTTCATAGTATATTTGGAATTATCGGTATGTGTGTGTCATTATGTTTGGAATATCGTATTTTGGATTTTCCACACTTCCGGGGGATCCACCCCTACCATCCTCGCCATTGGATCTATTGTACTAGAGGAAGCAATTCACCCAGCTACGCCAGGCATCTATACTATCTTTAGCTTCTCTACAACCTACTGGTTATGGAGTAGACCTCTTGACTAGCTGACTACGTGGTGACGAAGTCTGCAAGCAGATGACCTCGATATCCTCGAAGACTCTCCAAGAAAAGGTTAGTCGAGATTCTTTGCCTTCGGTCACGCCAGCGTACGTAACTGAAATACTTCGAATGCAACGAGAAAAATTTCAACATATTCTCTGAGCATCAGTTCAAAATTGAAAAAAATTCATCCAAAATTATTAAGTATCAAAATTTCATTTTCATTTTTTTAAGATGATGCGCGTAACACACGCTACTACACTCGAATACAAATTTCTTCGTTCCTTATTAGAGCATTGCTTTTTCATATGTTTATATGCTATGTAGGCCATTGCGGGTGGATGCGGATATGCGGAGGTGTGAAATACTCAAAAGGATTTGGTAGAAACCCTCCTTTAGCCCAGATATTGTTGAGATGATATCGGGAATAGCGGCGATAGATTTTAACTTCAATGAAATATATTTTAATGTTTCTCTTTTAGTCGCGGATATTGCTTTATTTAATTACGAAATTGGCATCGATGCATAACAACACATATGTATGATGAATGTATTTCTTATATGTTTACGCTTTTAGTAATCGAAATGAAAGCGAAAGTTAATTTGTCTCGTTTTGTGTTTGTTCTCGGTCCTGTGAAAGTCTCACAACACCCCAACTATATTACAATGTTATAAGGTATGTAGTATGTGCGAAATTCACAAGAGAAATGAATGAAAAATTTTTTTCATTTCAATTTATTTTTGGTTACAATGAAAAATCTGTTATTCGTGCAGAATTATTCGTAAATAAGTCAATTGTTGCCAAGTTAGTTCAATTACATATATATATACACATATTAGAAAGGAAATAAAAAAGAGAAAAAGAGAGAGAAGACGCTTAAAAAAGCTTAAATACGTGTTCGCATTTCAATGTTTTATAAGTGAAAAATCTTAAGCAAGAGAATATTCAACCAGTTGCTTAAACAAGAAGATGAAGCAATTACATTAATTGGGATAACTAACAACAATAAAGTAAAATTAATTAATTAGTAAAATTTATATTTCATTTTAAAAGCAATTTAATTAGAGTAAATAAAAAAAAAAAAAAAAAAAAAAGTGTTGTGTACGTTTATTTTCAATATCACTATCATATCGCCATCATCACTCATCATCATTATCATCATCATCATCATCATCATTAGTAGGTAGAATACCTGAAAGGGCTTTCTCCTCCGCTAAGTGAAGGTATGCATAACAAAAGAACTTAATACCTTCACACATAATTGATTGACTACTTTGCCGTTGACAAATAGTATAAGTGGCTGGTATCAGCACAATTTCATCGTCATATATAAGGTTAAGTATTAGTTTAGTTTTGTTTTATAATTACAAAGTTATTCATGAAAATATATAGAAATTTTCAGTTTTCCACTGTTGCTTTTGTTATTTTTCTTTATTCTTTCACCTATTACGTACGTTCAACCTTCAGAATCAGAAATACCAGAATCAGAAAAAGTCTGAAGGATTTAATTAAAGTCTTGTGCAAATTTAAGAGTACAAAACCTAGGCAGACAAATGAACGTCGCCGATTAAAACGAAATCCAGAATAAAAGTTCAATAAAAATGTAATTTATGGCATTTTCGATATGCTGTTAACATTGTATTGAATGAGGCGGTTTGATCGATCTTAAGAACAGTGAAACCAGTAAGAACATTATAGTCGGACAAGGCCGATCGTTAAGCATCCTATACCACATTGTTTACACCATTCTTATACAACAAAAAATTATATCCTTTTATAGGAACAATAAATGAAGTCTTGAAGGTCCGTTGGAATGGTTATGCCCAAGAGGCTCAAGAATTGATGTACTTTTTATATAATTACTATTATGGGTTAATTTTCGTCATAACATATTCAAATTTAGATTTTGCTGCCTTATAAAGGATCAATTTTCGCGAAATCCTTGCATGGAGTAGGACCCAAAAAATTGGCTGCAATGATTCAACTTTGACACAGTTGATTTTGTTATGCTAATTTACTATTATGATATAAATTTCATCTGCAGTATTAAAAATTCAGAGTTGGTTCAAAAATTGCCGCAGCCAGTCCAAAGTTTCCATTCCAACTTAGAATGCCGAAACACTAATACTTAGCCACTTTTGCCGAGAAATTTTCAAAATTGCAATTTGTTTTGGTGGAGGTGTAGTCGAAAAAATGGGCCGACGCAAACCATGCTTAATAGCTTTCGTCTTTGGGTTAAACACACGTCACTGTACCAAATTTCATCAAAATATCGCAAAAATTGTGATGCGTAGCGTGAACAGAACTTTAGATGGACAGACGGCCCGACAGGCTCAAATCAATTCAGATTAGGATTCTGAATCGATCGGTAGAATAAAAGGTGGATCTATCTTAAGCCCTCCTGCGTGTTATATACGTCCGCAGTAACTTGATATACCCTATACCAGAAGTGACGCAGAGTATATCAAAAGACTTATCCATATCTATTTTTATTCAAAAAATTACCTCATCCGATTTAAAATTTTCACATCAATTTACAACGTCGAAGCACTATTACTAAGCGCTTTCTGTCGCGAAATTCTACAAATTGCAATATTTTTTCTTATAATGACTTCTTATCAGAATAAGGCGACGAAAAAGTGATCCAATCGGAACTATTTTCAATAGCGTTTATCCATGAGCAAAAATACATCAGTATATCAAATTTTATTGAAATAATTCGGAAATTTACGACGTGCAAATTGAACACAAGATGACATGGACAGACATCAGACGCACAGACAGCCCCGTGGGTATATTTCAAGCCCTCTTAAGTGTTACAACTATACACTACATCACAAGTGGGATAGGGTATAATAATACGACATAGTACGTCTAAAGAGACGATTTGTTGAACGTAGTCGTACTACACTACTACGTAAATTGCATGCGTTGGATAAAGGATTCGTCCCGACATGATAACTTCCTGGCTGAACGGAATGAGTGAATTAAAAGAATGCATTACGATTGTTGGCAGACAGATTATTATAAGTCTGGAGGTAAGGATACTTTTTAGTAATAAATTAATTTTATATTCACTTAAATTGTTTATGCTACGAGACGGATTATCATCATAACAATGTATATTTACATACAAACTTATATAAAAACGCATGTCAGTCAGCCAGTCATGAACTCGTATTACGTGTGGGTTGTTGTTAAGAAATATGAACAATTACGCCTACACATGACTTTATTGGATACAAAAAAAAAAATTCTATTTTCATATATAGACAGAGATTGATATGAAGAAAAGAAAGAAAAATTGTCTTACCATGCTTAGGAAGGAAAAGCTAATTTTATTATATATCGTACAATTTAATATCCAGAAGAGAAACAATCTCTAAATAAACAAAAGTTTGTAAAAATTTTGATATTACGTAAAAAACCTTTTTTTTTCTCTCTACAATTGCTTTCACTTTAAGGATCCATTATATCTCTAGCCTTCTCTTTAATCCATTTAAGCAAATTTGGCAAATGAATATCGTCCACTCCCCTCTTCTCTTTCGCGTAAAACAAAAGGTCATCTGCACAGATTTTTCCGCTTTTCTCTTAGAGGCTCAGAAGAGTTAAATGGGAG